GCACTGTACACCGTGTTGAGTTGATACACGTATATATTGCAGTGTTGTTACCACCATGGCATTAGATAACACCTTTATCGTGATACATAATCGTTAGTTTTTTTGTGTACTGAGAACAGTTAAGATCACTTTCATCTTTTCTGCTCTTCCCTCTCCCTGTCTTTCAAGGTTGAGGTGAGCTCGGAGGTAAGGGGACTGACTGCACGTGACACCTTATCAGTTAGAGTCCTTATGAGCCAACATATAGTGTCCTCTCTGCAGCAGCACAGTGTACCTAGATCTTTTTTTTCTAATTCTTCGGCATTACCTGGACACAGTCTCATTTGGTGAGCATATGTCCTGTAGGACTTAGTATTTCTGGCCTTCGTCAATGGCTGGCTGCCCTGTTCTCTCTCAGGGCTCTGACAGCTGGACTCTGGAGCCAGAGGACTCTGTCTTTGAGGGTGATACAGTCACTTTCTCTTGCTTGCCTTAGGGTTGAGCCCCTCCATGCTTGGTGATGGGAGTTAGTGCTGCAGGGCCAGCTGAGCAGGAGGCTGTACCGAGGCTGGGATCAGAGGTCTCTGCTCCCAGGGGTGGGACCAGGCACTGTGTGAGACCCCAAAGGATGGGAACAGGGAGAAAACAAGGACCAGACCCTTAGGGTTGACCTGTGTCCTCCTGGTTCTGCCTGCCTATGCCATCACTGACATCAAAAAGCACAGCTTGTCATCCCATAAGTATTGGGCCCCTGGGTCCTGCTGGCACTGCCACCCTCAGTTTGCTCCCAAGCCCCCATTCTAACCTTACTGCTTGGGCCAGCACCTCACTCACCCTTTGGTCCAGGCAAACCATATCTTTCATGAGGCCTCCCTCATTCCGGTTTATCTCCGGGCATGTGATTAGACCATGCCCTCTGCTAGGACGTGTCCACCTTCTTTTCCACCTTCGAGAGTTCTGCCCATCTTTAACGACTGTCCGGATCCCCTCTTCTCCTGACCACCCCACTAAGGACATAGGGCCTGCACCCTGGAATATATGAGTTAAATATCCCTCCTCTCCATGGGCAAGGCCCCATTTCCTTTGTCAACCATCTGTGGTGGGGGTGGGTCCAGAGCTTTCCTCACACTAAGACCAAGCTCATCTGTCCATCGCTGGCTGGACAAGGACCGAAGCAGCTAGAGAGGGGAGCTCTTGAAGGAAGTGAAAAAGCCATGTGTTTGTGTCGTCAAGACCTCTGAGGATATCTATCAGAGTCAAGAAAAAATACACATATTAGACTGTTTTCTAACTGTTTAATACAGAAAGTTTCAAATGCACACCAGAGCGGAAAAAGCAGTGAACTGAGTCCTGTGGAACCAGCTTCCATGGTTTTCAGTATCTGCTGGCTGCAGGGTTGCATCATCATGAGGCCTCAAGGTCACAGTCAGCTGGCACCCGTTGGACACCACTATGTGTGCACAGTGCCAGGTCGTGTGGCCACCAGTACTGCTATGTCATCCTCCAGGCCCTTGCAGTGGTATTGGCCACTCACGTTTCACAGGGACTTCATCCCCTGCCTGTTTTCAGACACAGTTTTTAGCAAGAGGGCCCTTTTCCATAGAAACCGTGTCTCCAATCCTAATGGTCAAAACAGATAAAGTGATATTAATACACATTTATTACAAGAGTTTACTTTGGTATCATTTATGTATAAAATTAATTTACTAATGGGAAAGCACCCTAAAACTGCCATAATGGGTAGTAAGATTTGAATTTTGATAATGATGACAATTTTACAGTACGATTTACCTCAATATTCTGTTTTGGTTGAACCATATTCAGAAATCACTGGATCACACAAGTAAGCCATTGTTAATGGTGACAGATTTTTATCTTATTTTTACCCGTTTGCCTTATGATTTCGAGTCTCTTCAATTAAATTGATCCAAATGCGTAGAGGAAGAGCTTGGAGGAATTGTGTTCTTTTTTTCTTCCAGAATTGAATCACTGATCTAACAGATGGTCATAGTCTTTATTATAAATATGAAGATCAGACGAGAAGAAACACAAACTTAAAATAAGCAAAACTGTGCTTATCCTGTGCCATGCTTTCTGGTGTTGCTGCTACAGTGGTGGGAACATGTGCCAAGTCAGGTGCAGTTTCTGTGCTAAAGTTACAGGCACGATTGTGAGTTCTGTAAAAGAGCAATGCAAAACTGCAGTCTTCCTGGTGACTCACAAGAGGTTCAGATACTTGCACGTTCATGGCAAGAGAAGTTTGAGCTTTAACTTCCCCCTGAAGAGGAGTCAAATGGGCCACATGAATTGATACATTGGTAGTCTCTGAAGAGTTCCAATTTTGTAAATAGTCATTTGAGTGTGTTTGGACTTTTATGAGTTTTTAAAATACAGGGGGAAAAAGATTAGAATCGAATGTTTGCAGAAACCCTGAAGCAGTTCCAGCGGACCTCAGGGTTCCAGAGAACCTGATTTGAAAGATCATGATACTATCCGAAGCAAGTGTGTGAAGGTCCACGTTTTCAGCTGTTTGGTTCCCAGTCACTGTTTATGTGACTCATTAAGACAGTTGGGTACAGACTACAGTCAAGCGTTGAATATTTACATCTTGAGCCTACCTCCTCCTCTCTCTCCCTGGGTGTGCTTGGAAGTAAGGGGGTGGATGTGTCCTTCTGCATTTCAAAGGATTTTCCTTTTATGACAGCTCAGTCTCCCTCCCTTCCTTCTTCCTTTAAGCTTCATCACATTTTTGTTTCATATTTAAACCATGCCTTTCTTGTAAAATTTTTTCCTGGAATTCCTGATTGCCTTTTTTCTTACTTATTAGTATATTTTTAAAAACAATCTGTCTTTAATCAAATCCATGGTGTTTTCTAGCTTGTTATTTCTTCCCTCCATTGCTCTGACTTCATTCCCCTCTCCTCAGAGATGCCTCATATCTTGCTGTAATATGGACCCCCTCTTTTTAGGTCCACTACAGAGCTCATCATGGAAATCCCTTTTTCTGGATCTCCGGGTTTAGTCTAAAAGTTAATTTCTTCTTTCTCAGTATTCACCCTCATTTTTCTGGAGCTCATCCTCAAGTCCATGACCAAGAAAATATATGTGGGAAACAAGCTCCCTGAAGCCTTAATGTTCTGGAAAATGCCTTTCTTTGCCTTCAGGCTTGAGTGGTTTCTTTCAGCTCTAAAATTTCTGTATGTAATTTCAGTAATTCCCTCCCTCCAGCTCTTCCATTGTCTCTGGAGCTTCTGTCTCTGGCCTTGTGCTCTGAGGCATTCATCATTTCTGTGCTACATTTCACCTCTGTCATTCTTATCACAACTCCCACCCATTTATAAAAATTTATTTCACAAATCATATTTTTAACTTCCATATTGCTCTTTGTTTTTCTAAATGAAATGTTCTCTTGAATGTTTCTGAGAATATTAACTTAAGAAGTAGCTTTTCATTCCTTTCATTGATTGTTTCTTCTTGGAACTTTTTTTGTGTGTCTAGATCCTTGATTGTGTCTCTCATGCTGAAGGCTGTTCTCAAACATCTCATGCTTCTGAGGTTCCCATTCAGAGGACCTCAGAAATAGAAAAGGCTGCCTGAGGCTCTGGAGAAGTGGGCAGCCCTGACCAGAGGTCCCCCAGTTGCTGAAATGAGGGGAACTTGACTCTGTGGTGCTACCACCTTGACTGGCTGCCTACAAGTTTTCTTGAGGCATGTATTTTTATTTACATGTAGGGCTGTTTTTTAAGGATACCCAGGATTTGTTTTAATCAGGTGTAGTAAGACATGCGGACATGGAAATGACTGTCATGAAGGGAAAAGATTTTACTTCTTGTTCCATAGAAACAGGAGGCACAGCTTGCCAGGTGAGGCCGCATCGGGAAGCACCGGAGTCGGTCAGGAGGTAGAAGGAGTGAGAGGGAAACGTGGGCAAGAGCCTTTATTGTGGTTCCACAAGAAGGAATAGGTGACGTCGGGTACACAGGGTTAAGATTGGCTAGTGGGAATGATTTCAGTGGGCTCTGGGGCATAGGGGCTGTCCCTAGTTGCCTGTACCTGGCCCTGGGGTGATTAGGGCAGGTGGATGGTGGCCCAGACTGTGAGAACCCCATGGAGGAGGTGGTTGGGTGGTTGGAGTATGGGCTCTGGATGGGTTGGTTTGTATTTGACAGGTGTGCTCCTGAGCGAGTTGTTTACTATCTCTAGGAATTGCCTAACCTGGGTGGGTGAGGGGACAGTCCCTCCAGGGTGAGCAAACGCCCCAGATGACAAAGTGTCAGAATACAGAAAATAAAAGACATGGGTAATAAGGGCTGTTGCTCTTGGTTTTTTTACTTCGTGTTTTGTGTCCTCCGCCTTTATTCAAAATGGTCACTTCTGGCTACAGTAGGTTCTAAACCTGGGCAGGGGAGTTGGGATAAGGTGCATTCATCTAAAACTCGTACCTAATTCTGCTCTCTCCACCTATCTTCCTTCCCATCGTTGCTAATCAGGGAGCCCAGTAGCCCTCAGCGGCTCTGCTGGCACCCAGCCCCTTCCTGCCCCTTTCATCTTCAGTCACTCAGGATGTATTTGTTAAGCACCACCCAAGCCGTGGGCCCATTCAAGAGGCTGGGACTAGAGCATTGAACACAGTGGGTAGAAATCCTGCCCTCGTGGGGCTGCTAGAGTGGCCATGTGCTTCCACCCACTCTGTATCTCCTACAAATTGACTGAAATTTCTCATCTGCTGATGTCTTCCTAAATTGTCTTCAGGTTTTGTTTTTTGTTAAGAACTTTGTTTTATATGCATATGAAAAAAATCATAGTTCCTGAGCAGTGGGGTGGACACTGGCCAATTCCAATCTGTGTCTGAGAAGATCTCCCAGGTCAACTGCAGCTGATACTCTCAGATCAGTGCTGACCCAACCATGAACAAGAACCCCTCTCAAAGCTGCTCAGACTGTGGTGACAACAGACCTAAGGGCACCAGGAAATCCACCGCCTGGCAGTGCTGGCTTACAGAATCCTTTTCCTGTTTCCAGTGCTGATGAGCGATTTGATGCCACATTCCACACCAACGTGTTAGTGAATTCTTCTGGGCATTGCCAGTACCTCCCTCCAGGTAAGATCCACATCCTTTGTCTTCCTAAATTAGATAGTTTAAGCCAGGTCGGAGTACTAGTCTGGACAGTGCTTACATGAGCAGTGGGCCAGCTTGGTGTTCTGGGCATCCTTTGCGTCTGTTCACACCCACCTCCTCCTGCTTTCTTCTCTCTGCTTACCCATATTTCCTGAATGTGACAATGACATCTTCATCCTTTTTGTCTTGGGGTCATGGCTCAAGCTGTCTCTGTCAACACATGGCATTTGTTCTTATTTTCTGCCATACATTCTTTAAAGGTAATCCACAACTAAAGCAAATCTCCCTCGTCAGGTAATTTCTTGCTTTCCTTGCACCCTGCAAGGCAAACACCCCAAGGCCATTTATTCCTCCATTTCAGTGCACCATTTTCCTTCCCACCAGATTGGGTATCTTGGCAGGTGCTGTTCTCCCTGTGTTGGGGGTGAGATGTTGAACTTGCTGGGCTGGTTTCTTGAGTGTGTGCATTAAAGAGCATGGGATGTTTGACACAAGATTAAGTGGTTTCAAAGGAGGGTTCATTAGTCACTTATTCCTGAATGAGCTTCTCTCCTCCTTCTCAACCAGTTGATGGTTAACTGTTTCCTGGGATTGATTCTTTTCCTACCAGCCCATCATTTCTGTGGATTCACAGGGTGCCAGGCTGCTCAGTGAGTAGTCCACACTTGGGAAACAGGCTTTATAGCCTTGAGTCACATGGATATTAACAGGTTTTTAAAAAGCTTTTAGATGATTTTTTACATTTTCTTTTCCAGGATTATCTCCCCCCGCTGCAACTGTTTGGTTTAACTTCCTGCTCCCAGGCAATCTGCAACCACCCCCACCTTGCCACCAATACACACAAAAACACGCCTCTCTCTCCAGCAGTCAGCCGCAGTCTCACGCCTTCTGATTCCTCTCACAGCACACAGGACAGTTGACTGCCTTCTAGGTCATTGTTTATATGCTTGTCCTTGTTAGCACATAAAAGCATCCCATGGACAGAGTCTGTATTTACTCACCTTAGAATCACCACTCATCAACCAGGTACCTGACCCACATGTTGATGAATGAATGAATGAGTGAGTCCTCAACCTGTCAAGGCAGATACTTCCCAATAATGTTTGTATAGATTGAAGAACTCCAGATTTTCAGGTTTTCTATCTTAAAGCATGTGCTTCCTTGCTACTTTTCCAGCCCTTTCTCCCTTCCCCCAGGCCACACATGCTTCTTCCTAACAGGTGGCCCCTTGCAGCCTGGGGCTGTAGAATGTGTCATCCATCACACATACATTTTTTTTCATGAGGCCTGTAAGTTGCAGCTTCTGTTATGAAGGCTAATGACCCCCAGTCATCAGGGTAGGAGAATATGTTGCTGAAGATTGTTTTGAAAGTTGAGGCTATTTTCAGCTCCAGGAGCACCGCTTCTGACCGCTGAGCTGTCTGTGTGCAGCAGCCCCCTCTGAGGTTCTGTTCCTGTATCCTGGCCTCCGTGGCCCCTGTAGCCTGATCAGGACAGGACACACTTTACTGTGACCCTGGGAGTTTCCGTTGCATTGGCAGGGGCAGCGTGGAGCTGTCTGCCCTGGGGGTGGTGCAGAACTGATCTGGGATCCAGCTGTGCCCATGCAACTAAGCACAGGCAAAAAGAATGTTTCAGGTATAAGCTAGGAAATAGAAACTGGATTAGGAAATGACTTTTTTTTCCATTTCATATTTTTATTTTTAACAGCTTTATTTTGGTGCAATTCACCCATTTTAAGTGCATGATTCAATGATTTTAGTAAATTCACAGAGTTGTGCCACCATTACCACAATCTAGTTTTAGAACATTTTCTATCACCCTGGAAAAATCCCTTTTGCCTGTCTGCAGTTAATCTCCACCCTCACTGCTAGCCCCAGGCAACCACTGATCTGCTTTCTGTCTCTGGCTTCTCTTCCTCTGGTCATTTGATAGAAATGGAATAATACAGTTATGGAGTTAGATTTTCTAGAAGCAATATGGGTTTGGGGGGACCCAGCCCATTAATGGGAGGGCAGTGTTTATAATGACTTCCTGATTCTGATGAATGCTGGATATAATGCTGCAGATCATATTTAAGAAACTTGAGGGGCAGGAAGTTTACTGTCCTTTCCCAACTTGGCTCTGGGGAGGGGGTGTGTGTTTGCAAGGCTTCTGAGTCCCTTCCTCCATTCATTCTTTCTTTAATTGCATGGCAGAAATTCACAGAGCGCCTGCCCTGCCCCCACAAGCACTGGAACCCTTAGCTATTTGTGCCTTCCAATCCTTCTCTGGGCAGAACGGAGTAGACGGGCATAAATACTGGAATGGGTTCATCTGGTCCCTTCTTGGTGACCTTCTAGGAAATTCACTTCCATCTTGTCCTAGTCTTGGAGTCACTCTTTTCAGTGGAAACTCTTTGTGTCCAAGCACTATTTCTTCATCTTAAACCTACCAGTCCTTGTTTTGTTCTCAATCTAGAATTCAGACTAGTTAAAATTTTCCTCTACATGTATTTCTGGATAACAAGTGTTTTCTCAATTTTTAACCTAAGGAAAATGCCCACCCTGTTCCATAGCGAACACACACACACACACACACACGTACACACGCACTTTTCAGATTTTGTTTCAAAGCTCTCCATTATTTTTGTTAACTCTGAGATTTTTTTTACATTCGTTACTTTTCTCTTATTATTTAGAGTGTGAAGATGTGCATGCATGGTAAGAGCAAGTTTACAGAACTTCTGATTTTCACAGAAATCCTTCAGAACAGTCTGCAACAGAGCATGTCAGTGTTGTCTTTGAATTTTAAAAGGCAGTGAAGCTTCAGCTGAGCTTCTTTTCAGAGATTTTTCAAAAAGGACCCACCTTGTTCTGGACAGGTCTAGCTGTAGTTTGGAGAATCAGGACAAGCAGAAGTCCTTTGTGGTGACACCCAGTCCAGAGGACCTTGTGCCCACATTGCCTCCTCTGGAAGGGAGCTTAAGTGGGCCAGAAAGATGTGTGCACAAAGCACCGCTCAAGAACACATGCAGACCATCATCAATAATGTATCATTTAACTCGCCAATCTTTTATCATGCTAACAAACATTTTACTCCATGAAGATTAGGCACTGCATCTTAGGAACAGCCTTTGACGATAGAGAACAAAGGACTGCCATGTATTTATTTATGTAAATGATCTTCCCAGCTCTATTGAGGTATAACTGACCAAATTATAATATTCTTAAAGTGTAGAACATGATGATTTAATATGCATATACATTGTGAAATTATTTCTACAGTCACGTTAATAAACATACCTATCACCTCACATAGTTACATTTTGTGTGTGTGTGTGTGTATGAGCACTCTTAAGAGCTACTCCTCGGCAAGTTTCAAGTAAACAATATTATTAACTTCAGTCACCATGCTGCACATTAGATCCTTAGAACTTATCTGCTTATAACTGAAAGTTCATACCTTTTTACCAGCCTCTCTCCACTTCCCCCACACCCTAGCCCATCAACCACCATTCTACTCTTTGTTTCTTTGAGTTCAACATTTTTTTGTCTTCAGATTCTACATCCAAGTAATACCATACAGTATTTGCCTTTCTCTGTCTGGCCTAGTTCACTTAGCAAAATGCCCTCCAGGTTCATCCATGTTGTTGCAAATAGCAGGATTTCTTTATTTTTTAAGGCTTAATAATATTCCATTGAATGTGTGTGTGTGTGTGTGTGTGATTAATACGTATACTTTTCTTTATCCATTCATCCGTTGATGAACACTTAGTTTACTTAGGTTGTTTCCATATCTTGGCTATTATAAATAATGCTGCAGTGAACATGGGAGTGCAGCCATCTCTTTAGATAATGATTTCATTTCCCTTGGATATATCCCTAGAAGTGGAATCACTGGATCATATGGTAGTTCTATTTTTAATTTTTGGAGGAGCCTCCATACTATTTCCATAATGGCCTCACCAATTTACATTCCCGCCAGCAGTGTGAGACGACTGTGTATTTAAAGCACATCTCAGTCAGCTTCCATTTTGGTCTCCTGACTGTTCCCATTGCCCACATAGGCATATTCAAGAGCTCCTGCTACATTGACGTGCGCTGGTTCCCCTTTGATGTGCAGCACTGCAAACTGAAGTTTGGGTCCTGGTCTTACGGAGGGTGGTCCTTGGATCTACAGATGCAGGAAGCGGATATCAGCAGCTATATCCCAAATGGAGAATGGGACCTTGTGGGTAAGCCCAGCAAAGACGTGAGACCAGCAGCCTAGAAAAAAGCTGCTTTATTCCTGCGCCAGGTTAAAGTCTGGGATTTTCCACTCTGCTTTTCAGTGTGAGCATTTATTGAACCCTGCAGCATTCTCCATAATTTCCTGAGAGCTATAGGATGAGAAAGAAAAAACAATTAGAAAATTCAGTGCTTTCCATGAGGAACTTGTGGTTATGCACATTTAAACACAAGTCAGTGCTATTAAAGGCATCGCTACATCATTCGAATCTGCTTGATTCCTAACGTCAGGTTGGTCAGCAAATTGCAGGTGATGGGAACCTATCTATATTTGATGATTTTAAATAGAAAAACAATAATTACATTTATAGTGGGGTGAAGTTTGCAATGCATTACTTATAATCATGGTGTCTTAGTCCATTTGGGCTGCTATAACAGAATACCATAGGCTGGGTGGCTTATAAACAACAGACATTTATTTCTCATGGTTCTGGAGGCTGGAAAGTCCAAGATCAAGGCGCTGGCAGGCTGGGTATCTGGCGAGGGCTCACTTCCTGGTTCATATATGGCTGTCTTCTGGCTGTGTCCTCACATGGCAGAAGGGACTAGGCAGCACTCTGAAGCCTCCTTTATAAGGACAATAATCCCATTCATGAGAGCTCCCCTTTGTGACCTAAGCACCTCCCCAAAGACCCACCTCCTAACACTATCACCTTGGGTGTTAGGATTTCAACATCTATGTCCCCCCAATATGAATTTTGGAGAGACAAAAACATTCAGCCTATAGCACATGTAATTCCAATCCATCAAAAAAAATCTGCCAATTTGTTCAAATATTACTAAAATACCCTTAAATAACTATAATAAACCAGAAAGTGCTTATTCGAACAATGATTACTCAATTTTTTAGCACTTAGCAAACTCCATGGCTATGTTTACATGCTATATCCATTAAAATGAACAAATGGGGGCTGGCCCAGTGGCATAGCAGTTGAGTTCGCATGTTCCGCTTCGGCAGCCTGGGGTTCATGGGTTTGGATCCTGGGTGTGGACATGGCACCGCTTGGGAAGCCATGCTTTGGTAGGTGTCCCACATATAAAGTAGAGGAAGATGGGTACGAATGTTAGCTCAGGGCCAGTCTTCCTCAGCAAAAAGAGGAGGATTGGCAGCAGATGTGAGCTCAGGGCTAATCTTCCTCAAAAAATAAAAAAAAGAAAAAAATGAATAAACAGGGTGATTTTATTCAAACAACAGCCTCCTTTTTTCCCCCTTCCCATGGAGGAATCCCCGGTAAGAGAAGTGAGAAGTTCTATGAGTGCTGCAAAGAGCCATACCCGGACGTCACCTTCACAGTGACCATTCGCCGCAGGACTCTCTACTACGGCCTCAACCTGCTCATCCCTTGTGTGCTCATCTCAGCCCTTGCCCTCCTCGTCTTCTTGCTCCCTGCAGACTCTGGAGAGAAAATCTCGCTTGGTAAGTGCCTGGACCTGTGGAGGGAGTTTGGGATGGCTGGAGGGCCCTGCCTTGAGGTCAGCTCTCTAGGGCTCACTGTGGACAGCGGAGGGGCACGTCAGGGCTCCAGGTGTGGAGATATTGCAGGGCCTGCTTAGTGCCTCACACACTGACCTCCTAGCTGAGGGCATCTCCCTGCCACCACAGGCTCCTGATTTAGGCTCTGCTGGATGGCCATGCCCTCCTGAGATGCCAATAGGATCCTCTGATTCCACACAGAGGATGAGAACATCAAAGAAGGGATCAGTTCTCCTCTGGGGGCCTGTGCTTTCTGCCTTCCTGCCACCCACCCTGTTCCTTGGTGGCAACCAACCAGCATCATTGTGGACAAGAAATAGTATCAACCTGCACTTGTATATTGCCTCACAGGGCATAATTCCTTATGATCATCCAATAACAAGATAAGAAAACTCAGATTTAGAATGGTGAAATGAGTTTCTCAACATCTCACAGAGTTTCTAATGATGATATTTAGTACCTGAAGAAGTCATTCTCAGGGCCAGACCAGTGGCACAGTAGTTAAGTTCACACCTTGCTTCAGTGGCCCAGGGTTCGCTGGTTCGGATCCTGGGTGCAGACTTACGTACCGCTTATCAAGCCATGCTGTGGCAGGCATCCCACTTATAGAAAATAGAGAAAGATGGGCACAGATGTTAGCTCATGGCTGATCTTCCTCAGCAAAAAGAGGAGGATTGGTGGCAGATGTTAGCTCAGGGCTAGTCTTTCTCAAAAAAAGAAAAGAAAGAAAAAAAAAGAAATCATTCTCAAACAACTATCTTCTGATTCTGAGGCTCGGGCATGTTAAATGACTTATCCAAGGTCATGCAGCTAGTAAGTAGCACAGTCAAGACTGGATGCCAGGCCTTTGGACTGCATGTTTTCTTTTTCTTGCTACATCAAACTACCTCTCAATACTAACATAATAAAGAAAATGAGAGAGACTAGTACTAAGTTCAATAATTCATTTTGTGTTGTTCTAAAGGTCTGGCTCCTAAACCTGTCTCCACCAGGGACTCTGATAATGACATGGACTGTCCCCAGAAAAATGCCCATGCCCATATGTACAGAAAACCATGCATTCAGTTTCAGGAAAGCCACAGACCCCCGCCCCCAACGCCTCCCTATTTCTCTGAATCTCAGGTTAGGAACCCAGTTAGATGGACTTTAGGCCCCATCATCTGTTCTGTCTCAGGCGCTGCTGTGTGTTTGTGTTTCAGGAATAACAGTTTTACTGTCTCTTACTGTCTTCATGCTGCTGGTGGCTGAGATCATGCCTGCAACATCTGATTCAGTGCCCTTGATAGGTAAGGCAAGAGTCGGGCTCCTCTGAAAGAGATAGGCTTAGAGAATGCTCAGGACTTCCTAGCACAGGCAGGGAGCAGAAACGCGTCCTCTGGGGCCCTGGAGAGCGTCAGTTTTTGGAGAAATGGAGAGCCCCATTTTCTGCTGTGAGGATATGACTTGCTTTAACTATTCAGAGTGATCCGTGGCTTCTGCTCACCTGGGCACGTGTAAGGAGAGCGGAGAGTCCAGTTTTGTGGTTTGGCTGCAAGGTGCAGAAATGCCCCCTTCCTCCCCTAATTCTCCCCCTCATGCTTGTTATGAGGCCAAAGATTTTACCACTAGAGATTCGTTATTTTCATTTGTCATTGTTTTTCCACAAATCCTTTGCTAACATGGGAGGAGCACACACTTTAACTCTTAGCCATTGTTTTCTGAGATAACTCAATGTCTCTGTATAAAGATCAAGCATGTGAGGAGATGTGAAGAGGACAAATACGTTTTGGCCAGGACAGATGTAAGGCATGGCATTCTGCCCAGGGAGGGACGACAGAAACAGGGGACAGCATCACTTGTTGCCATGTGCCGCCCTGGATTGGAGCAAGTAGGAGCATGTGGAGGGGTGCTCAATGGTGTAGTGGTTAGGATCCAGCACTCTCACCACTGAAGGCAGGGTTCTGTTCCTGATTAGGGACCAGACCTCTAAGCTAGTTGTGAGGACCAGAAGCAAACATCTCCCAATGGGTATTAGGTTTAATATGGAAGTCCCCCTCCCATTTGGTGGTGGTCAGCCTCAGGAATGCAGTCTGTTATTACTCCTGTTGGCCCATTCCTACCTAAAGGCTGTCCTGTGTAGTTAACTAAGGATGGGTAGGAATGGGGGAGTCTTACATGGATACCCTTAGGCTTCAAAAACTAAGAAACCAAGGCCCTTTGTGTCGAACTTCCTGTATGTGTAATACTTTTGCCAGAGAGACTGTTGGTATGAAAAACGTTTGTGGGTGTCATACTTCTCTTACTACCATCCAGAGAGTGAGGAACTACCTTTCAGTTTGATGGTCTGACCCATTCTTTCTACCTTTCAACACAATGCTGCCGATAGAGACTGACAGCAGAAAGCACCATTAATGGGGCAGTCGGCTGGCCCTGCCTTGACTGGTGAACCCGCTGGGAGAGCCTAGGTTGATGCATAGCTTTCGTCTAGAAGGATGGGATGCTGTTGGTCTCTGACCTGTGGTGTTGGGATTTCAGGGTGTCCATTGATCCTGGATCCTTCCATAGGTCATTGCATTAGTCTGCTAGGACTGCCATAATAAAATTCCACAGATTGAGTGGCTTACAGAACAGAAATTTATTTGTTCACAGTTCTGGAAGCTAGAAATCCAAGGTCAAGGTGTTGGAAGGTTTGGTTTCTCCTGAGGCCTCCCTCCTTGGCTTGTAGATGGACACCCTCTCGTCGTGTCCTCACTTGGTCTTTCCTCTCTTTGGGCATCCCTGGTGTCTCTTTGTGTGTCCAAAGTTCCTCTTCTTATAAGGACACCAGTCAGACTAGATCAGGCCCCACTCTGACGACCTTATTTTAACTTAATAATCTCTTTAATGGCCCATCTCCAATGCAGTCACGTTCTGAGGTGCTGGGGTAAGAGCTTCAACATAAATTTTAGGAGGACACGATTAAACCATAACAGTCATGGTTTGGTTCACTTTCCTTCTCCTTCTTGGAGGTCCCTGATGCGAACTTGAAGTCTCAAATATCCACCTCTGGTAGCTCCTCGCAGGTACCTCTTTGTCTCCATGGGAGAGCAGTGAGTTCCTGCCTGCCTGGAGAGCAGGAGGTGTTCTTAACCAGGTGTGTGGCCGTACACTTAGCCTCTGTGCCAGGATGCTTTCTGCTTAGAGCTCAGGCCCCTTGGGCAGACAGATACACTGAGGGTTTAATAGAGTTGCGAGTTAAAGAACACCTCCCCTGTGCCAGGCTTTCTCCTAGACCTTTCGCCCATATAATTGCTAATTCCTGCACCAATCTTACATTTCCATCCCTGGTGTACTGCTGAAGAACCTGAGGCCCAGAGAGGCAGAGCAGCCTGTCGAAACTCACAGATGGCAGCCAGTGGACCCCAGGGTGGGGAACTCTTTCAGATGTTCCATGCTCCTTCTCACCTGGGCCAAGGTAGAGTAATACCTCCTTGCCCATCAGAGCTGAAGCTGATATTCTTAGCCTGAAAAGTCACTGCTGCTAACCTCTTCCTCAGGCTGGACAACTAGCACCCCCTGGTGTTTCTGGATAAAAGGGGCCAGACGTATTTTCCACAATGGTCGCCTAAATGTCCAGGCCTTATAAGACAGCCAGGTGATGCGCAGGTTTGTCCTTGTTACGCCCCTGGAGCGCATCTGTGGCCCTTAGTCATCATGATGGTGACCATATCCTCAAATCCAGGTGTTTTCAGTTCTGATAACGATCCATGTGCTTTCTCTTGGGAACAAGATTATCACTGTCCTGAGAGGCCTGTTAAGTCTCAGTGAAGGAGGAGGCAGACAGAGTTCATGAAAGTGCAGTGAGCTAGGCAAGGCTACTCACCAGGATGGGATAGAAAGGCAGATCTCTGTGCTCTGGGCTGGCCTCTGCCTGCTGGTCTGTGGGCGGGGGACTGCAGGCCAGAAGTAGCCCTGCCCTGCTTTCAGGCTTTGTCACCCAGTGTGGGTCTGCCCCTGCCCTGTGATGTTTGTGCCTTGGAGGCCCTGGGTCTCACCTGCATCTGCTTTCTCTGCAGCCAAGTACTTCGCCAGCACCATGATCATCGTTGGCCTCTCTGTGGTCGTCACAGTGATTGTGCTGCAGTACCACCACCACGACCCCGATGGCGGCAAGATGCCCAAGTGGGTGCGTTCCTCCAACCGTCCCCAAAGGAGGCTCCACAGATGATTTATCTATTTCAAAAAAAATCCCACAAACAGCTAGCATTCCTAAACAAATAGCTGTATTTCTTACATGACCTCACCTAGCTGCATCTCTCTCTGCATAGTAGACAGATAGTGAGCATGCTTTTAGGGTCCTGGGCACTGGGCTTACAAACTCACATTCCAGAGCAGGACTCATACACTGACTGTTCATGTATTTTGCTAGCATGGTGTTTTTAAAACTACATTTGCATCTACTCTGGATAACTGTGCAGCTGTTGTAAAGCAACGGACGAGATGAGCACACAGCCACATGGCTGGATCCTCAAAGCAGAATGAGGAGTGATAAGAGTAAGACACAGAGTGAGCTATGCAAGAATATATACATTCAGTACACCTAGGAATGTAATCTAACCAAAACTTATAATGTTAAGTTTAGTAGTTACCAGTGGGGAAGAGGGATGGGATAAAAGAAAATGAATGAAAAATTAATGATTGATTATAATAGTGTGTCGTCTTAGTCTAGGCCACACCTGCCTAGTGCCTTGTGATGTTTGCTGATGCTTGCCCACCCACTCCTTCAGAGTCCTTCAGAGTCGAGGTTCCGAAGCTCTACAACCACCCTCACCTGACACTCAGGAAACCTCGATTAGGGCCGAGCAGGGCCTGGGCTTTCCTCACCTCCCTGTGGTGTAACAAAACCTGGGACAGGGGAGGGCTGCCTCTGCCCGGCCTCTTACTTGGGCCCTGCAGAACTTCCCGTCTTCCTGTCCAGAGCATGTGGCCTGGGGACCACTGGGAGCTAAAGAAACCCTTTCATGCCAAAATGAGCCTGTCTTTGGAGACCCACAACCTTGCATCCAAGTTCAGAAGGGAGTCCAGGCCTCACCAGCAAGCTAAGTGCAGCTGCAGGATGAAAGATGCATTTCCTCAACCTCCAGGAACAGGGAATTCCTAGGCCTTCTAAAAAATATTCATTGTGGGATAATTTACAGTTACCTAAGAGTTAACTTAGGAAAGACCGCTTTAAAAAAAAAACTTGGCTTTACAAAGTTACTGTGTCCCCTTGGGTTCTTTTCCATGGTGAGTTCTTAAATTTAATAAGGACTCTCTCTCTCATAGCTCCTTGCATCAGCAGTAGAGTGAGCTCCCCAAAATGGTGCCACCTCCCACACAGGTCACATCTCTTCAGTGCATGGGCTTGTTTTGAGAAACCCCTCACCTCCTAGCTTAAAAGCTGGGACACATTTGCACACATTCATCTATGTTCTCGTCTGACTTTCTAATAATCCTGATCCACTTTCTGTCTGTCCATCTGTGTGTTTGAAATAGGTAAGACATTTACATGTTTCAAAAGTCAAAATGAAAGTACAATTTTGCATAGAGAAATCCTGCTCCCATTCCTGCCCCTCGCCCTGCTTTCACCACCAATACTGATAACCATTTTAGTTAATTCCCACTTTTTCCTTCTAGTGTTTATTTATGCAAATACAAAAGTATAAACACATCTACTCTCTTATGTTTTGAGTGATGTAAAGATAATGGAATTAAGACATGAAGACAGAAAACCATTTTTAATGACCTGGTAGCACTTTACTGTTCCAGAAAAATCTTAATTAAGAGCATATGCTAATTATTCACCTCTCAGCACAAGAGCATCTTACAACCAATGGCTACAAATGAAATGTGAAGCTCGGATCTCTCTCTCTCTCTCTCATTTTATATAGCACACTGCATTTTTCTTTCTTTCCGTGTGTATCTGAAACATAAGCAGCCTCCAAGGAACTTTTATTATGATCTGTTGCTATGAAGAATATGCTGCTGGGTGCAGTGGCATTATGTGACATTTGCACAGCCAGAATCAAAACTATAACTTAGCAGAAGGGTCATGAGCACAGTTTGATAAGTGCCAAGAGGATAATTTCATCTTTTGAGATTCTTTAGCCTTGAAAGCTAATGATTCAGGCCATGGAATTCAAAATAGACTTAGCTTGAGATGTGCTGAAGGGATATGCAGACCCCCACGGGGAAGGAGAAGTATCAGGCACTTCTGCTCAGCTCTCCATGTGCACGGCTGCCTCTGGGTTTGGACACGCTCACTGCCCAGTGTGCTCCATGGGCTCTGGCCCAGGCTTTCAGGTGCCTTCCAAGTGGGGGTTTGGACAAAGTCACTGGAGGCTTAAAGGGAACCTAGTGGACCGTTTTCTGGATGAGGCTGTGGAAGTCTAAACACGTTAGGTGACTTGCTCACTATGTGACCCTGAGCCAATTTATTAATGTCTTTGAGCCTCAGCTTCTTTATCTGTAAAATAGAAGAATTATAGTCACTTCACAAAGCCCTGAAAGGCTCAAGTGAGATGGCGTGTCTCTTGATCCACATGTGGAGGGCCACTCTCACCCAAGGATTCACATGGGACCATGTGTCCCTGCTCCTTACTGATCATGGAAAATCCTCCAGGGTCTGCAGACAGCCTTTCAAGGCTCTGGAGGTTTCCCCATGCGATGTAGGCAGGATATAGAATGCCACCTGCTAGGAAGAAAGGGCTATCTTTATAGCTGCAGTGAAACGGCTCTTACGCCTTCTCGTTCTTTTCATTGCCTGTCTCCAGACTGGAGAGGAACTCAGCTGGTCTACTGCAATTATCTTTGATAAAATGTCATAAATGTGGTCACCAAGAAAGTGCTGCAGATATGAACTTCACAACTTACTGCCTGTACTTACAGATGGGAGTCATGCCTGCTATGCTGCTGATGGAATTTGCCCACCATCATAAACCAAAATTAAAATGAAATCAGTATCTGGATGATTTCATGGAAAGGGCCCACTTTTCATGTACTTGTCTAAATAGGCTTGCAGGAATGCTTTTGTAAACCAGACTTGAGAACTCACATGGCTCCCTTCTTTTCATTAGAGGCAAAAAACAAGAAAATGATTTCTCTCTAGCGTCTTCTATGCATGCAGGTAACATAGGTTTATAAAACACTTTAGACCAGAGGTCAGCAAACTGGCCTTGCAGGCCAGATCCAGCCTACCATGTGCTTTTGCAAATAAAATTTTATTAAAAAACAGGCATGTCTGCTCCTTTGCATGCTGTCTATGGCTGATTTTGTACCATATCAGCAGAGCTGAGTAGTTGCAACAGTGCCCTATGGCCCACACAGCCTAAAATATTTACTGTCTGGTCCTTTACAGAAAGTCTGCCAACCCCTGCCTCTGGCTTTTCAAATTACTTTCCCGCAAACCATCTTATTCAGTCTTCACTGCATCCTAATGAGTTGGGTTAGAGGTTCCTAAACTTTCTTGGCTCATAGCACCTTAATGTCTCAGGGTTTTTCTCGCAGAGCTCCTAGGGTAAAAGAAATACCTAACAGTTCTGTTTATTCAGTAGGTCAAAACAATTTGCTAAGTATTTATGCCTTGACAATTTAGCCCCTCTTGGCACAGCACAACCTCTTAAAACTTGCGAGCACACTACCCTCATTTGCTATTCCATGTTAACTTTCTTGGCACTTGGTTTTTATTAGAACAACTTCAGAAACCTGCTTTGCAATGATATGACATCATTGCAAGGGATGGAGCGATCTAATATTGCAGTCTGAACCCCTTAAAGCTAGAGCTTCATGCAGAGTCTGACAGATGTCACCAGGTTGCCCTTGAAAAGTTAAAATCTCTCAGCCACGCCTGTGAGTTTGCTGTGGCACGCTGGGCTCCCTCACAGGGAGTTTGGTATGAGAGTCCCTGGTTACAGATGAGGAAGGATCAGAGAGGGAAAGTGACTTGCCCTGTTCACACAGCTCAGGGCTCTCTTTCCAAGACAGCCCTCTCCTCTCATGTGGCTGTCTTCCTGAGATGGCAGTGTCCCTGCCATAAAGAGGAATTCAGCTGCTTCCCTGGGTAATTTTCTGCACTGGTTTTATTCTTGCCTCACATTTGACTCAACAGTTGTAACATTAGCACTGCTTGCCTGTGTAAACTCACCTGGGAAGGAGAAGGGGCCTGTCACCCCCGGAATCCAAGAAGTAGGACTGGTAGTGTAGGATCATCTTGCTATCTGGATCCCCTGATGCACACTTCCCGGCCGCTTCTAACACTCTGTTGTTTCCTCAGACCAGAGTCATCCTTTTGAACTGGTGTGCGTGGTTCCTGCGCATGAAGAGGCCAGGGGAGGACAAGGTGCGTCCCGCCTGCCAGCACAAGCAGCGCCGCTGCAGCCTGGCTAGCGTGGAGATGAGCGCGGTGGCTGGGCCGCCGGCCACCAATGGCAACCTGCTCTACATTGGCTTCCGAGGTCTAGAAGGAGTGCACTGCGCCCCCACCCCCGACTCCGGAGTTGTGTGCGGCCGCATGGCCTGCTCACCCACGCATGACGAGCACCTGCTGCATGGCGGGCAGCCGTCCGAGGGAGACCCGGACCTGGCCAAGATCCTGGAGGAGGTCCGCTACATCGCCAACCGCTTCCGCTGCCAGGACGAGAGTGAGGCCGTCTGCAGCGAGTGGAAGTTCGCGGCCTGCGTGGTGGACCGTCTGTGCCTCATGGCCTTCTGCATCTTCACCATCATCTGCACCATTGGCATCCTGATGTCGGCTCCAAACTTCGTCGAGGCTGTGTCCAAGGACTTCGCTTAACTCGGTCCTGGTTCCCAGTGTGTAGGAAACGCACAGATCAGCGATGTTGGCTTGGGGCGAATTTGGGGTGCTAATCCCACAGCAGCATTAAATGTGAGGACTCTGATGTACGCTTGGCACTGTCAGTGATGGCGGTTACAGTTTCCTTGTTACTTTCAGTGATAGGATCTCAGCACGTTTTTGTTTAATCCTCTCCGTTGGGCTACTTGATATCCTTGGGACACCCTAAGGGCAGCAGGACCACAGAGAGGTCATTTTTCCCTTTCCCCACTGCCTGGGAAGCTCTTCAGAGAGGTCCGGGTAGCTCAGGACTGCCAGGGGAGGCCTGTACAGTTGGTCTGCATGCCTGCATGTCATTTGCCATGAAGGCCTACATGAAAATGCCACATACGCTTTTGCCTGTGTACAAACTTAGATTGAAACTACTAATAATAATAAACCAAACTCACTAAATCCATTCAAATAATTAACTGGTGAAAGGAAACTAAACTAAACTAAAACTAAAAACCTAACTGCTGGTTTTCATTTAATTCAGTTTTTATATTTCTCTACCAAAGATGGTGGAGAGAAACAGTTTTATGCTGTTTCTACTTAAAACAAAAGAACAGACAGTTGGTCTTGTAAATTATATTTTTTCCTGCCTGATTTCTGCCAAACTATCCTGTCAAGGGAATCGGGAGGGACATAGGTGTTGTCAGTTCTGAACTAGGACCAGACCCAGTCAAGTGGGGGATTTCTGTAGATCCCAGGCAACTCTCAAGCTTCCTGTGCTTCCCCAGACACTGGGGAGCCGGTTCAGTGAGTCTGCTCTATTTTGAAAAATTCAAAGGACAGATAGAGTTCTATTAGAATTACCAGCGCAACGTATTAGCTAAATCTAAATTAAACCATCTATGTGTTTTCTGGTCTTTTTTAAATGCATTAGATGCTTCAAATGTAGTGGGGTTGATTAGTGTTAGAAATTCATGGATCTGTACAAATGCACAACATAAAGTAAAAGTATTCTATGCTTATTCTCCATGTCTCAGGGCCAGGGGGCAGAGGCCGGGACCTTTTCTGGTTCCCTGTGTGGCCGGAACTGGGGAGGGGATGGTGTGGCTGATGACTTTCCTGGATGACAGACCAGTGGTGGTCACCAGAAGGGGCTGGCAGGCTAAGAGAGGCTGCACAGCCAGTAGCTTCAGTTTCTGGCTTTTGGGAATCTGCTTCTCCACAGCTTGTCCACCCAGCTTCGTCCTAGGAAGCCAGCTGAATGGGTGGATTCACTGGAGATGCGTGTTTTAAAAGCAAGGAAAACTTTAATTTTAAACCGAAGTGGTGACACAATTCTCTGCTTAGATTATCTAGCTGACAACAGTCACCTTGCCTCTTCCCATTCTTCTTATTTTTTAATGAGATCGGAGGGAGACACAAGAAAATCTCTTCTCTTCTATTGTTTCATTCAGTAACTACTCAGAGCTCAAAACTACAGAAGGCTTTGAGCTCCTAGGAATCTTTACTTTCCTCTAACCCCCGAGATGGGTACATCATGAAGGAAGATTAGATTTTCAGAGCAATAGAAACTGCATACATTTCTCCAGCTGTTTATTTCACTCATTTCTGGGTAGTGCACATGGATTTGTTTGCACTGAGGAAGATGGAGGCTTGAGCATGCTCTGTGTGTATGTGTGTGAGCACCTGTGGACGTCTTGTTTACGACAAGAAGGTTGATGAGTAAGGGCATTCCAGCATCACACCATTTGGAGCAGGGTCGTCCTCAGAGTCCGCTCGTTCTACATGGGATGGATGAACAATGCACAATATTTTCTTTCTGTTTTTTTTCTATTAAAGTGTCTTTAGAAACAAGTGGAGTGTTTTGATATATAAAGAGGATACTTCATTTCTTATTGCTATCCAAAAATTGATCCCTGCTACATTTTTGCTTTAAAAAAAAAACACTTTGGTCTTGTATTTTATATAGAAAAACATAAGAAAAGCAAAAGTAGTTCATATTTTTACCATCCAAATAACTACTCTGCCATTTTTAAAAAAGTAAAAATAAGGAAAAGATGCACATATGGTTAGAAAAGTGTGAATGTCTAAACACAAAGGCCTCCCACGCTGTCTGTTTTTTCTTTTCATAGGGACCACCGATGAACTTCTGGGAAAAGGAGGAAAGGAAGGGAGGGAGGGCAAGGAGGGGGCATGAGAGACATTCCTTTTCTAGCACTCATGCTATGCATGGCCTTGCTTTCTTCACTTAGTGTTTTATCTCAGAGATCTTTCCAGAACAACACATAAAGATCTACCTCATTCTTCTTAATAGCTGCTTAACATTCCATTGTTTTGGTGGACTATAATTTCTTTGATTAGTCTTTTATTAGCGAACATATAAAGCATTTCCGTTTTTTATACACAAATCTATAATTACATCCTTGTACTTACATCTTAGCATACTTTTTTTGATTATATCTTGGTATAAATTCCAACTTGGAAATGGAATTGCTGGATTTAAGGCTATATGCATTGAACATTTTCTTAGATATTGCCAGATTAGCCTCCAAAAACTGATCAGTTGATACACCTACCAAGAGTATAATGAAAGGGCTGGTTTCTCAGCTTTCTCAGCACTGGGTATTATCAAACTTAATTTTTTTCCAATATGATTGGTGAAAAATGATATTACAATACTGTTCTAGTTTATTTTATTATGAGTGAAGTCAAAGATGTTTTCAAATGTTTTTTGGTAATTGCAAATTTTGTAAATTTATGTCCTTTCCACAATTTTCAATTAGGTTATTTGGCTTTTTCTTAATTTTCACACTTTGGAACCTTTCTGTCTTATGCCTTGAAAATATTTTTATTTGTTTATTATTTGTCTCTTGATGTTATTGATTTGTTTTTTTGCATATAGAAAGTTTAAAGTTTTATGTTGTCAATTTATCCATATTTTCCTTTGTAAGATCCTGGGATTTGTTTCCAGTTTTAAAAGTCCCTCCCCATTGTGAGATTATAAATAAACTTACTCATATTTTCTTCTAAATCCTTATGGTTTCATTTGTTTACCTTTATATCTTCTAACTCTCTGGAATTCATTTATTGCACAAAATGGAGGTAGAGATGCATTGTGTTCCCTCTAAACAGTTGGTCAGTTCCACCAATAAAATATATAACAGCACATTCCCATAATACAATTATAATCTTTTCTCCCATTCAAAATGCCACCTTCCTTGTAAACTAAATTCCTTTAAGTGTTTGGGTCCATTTCTGTTTCATTGATTTATCTCCCTATGAACGCCTTTAATTTCTAAGCCTTTATTCATAGTAGTATCAATAATTCATGTTAGTATCAATATTTCCAAGTTAACATTCCCCTCAACACTCTGTCTCTCTCTCACACACACATACATCTTTTTTTTAAATTGGGGTCACAATAAATTTGTAGATTAATTGGATCTTCTTATTCAAGAATACTGCTATCTAATGTGATTAGAAAACAACTTTTCTTTTTCTGAAACAATAACTTTGTGTTTCTGAGTTGCTTCCTAGACATTTTACGGTATGGCAACCATGCTCACAGAGGACCTGAGTTTAGGATGGCCACCATAAATTCCCACTCTGATTTTCTAGGGTCACCTTTTAAAATGACCACTGAGAGTTAAGCCTGGGAAAAGTTAGTGACTTTTGCCTCAACCATCTTATAAGTAATAGGTGCTGCTACCCTGCTCTCTATCTCCTGTTTGCCCTTGACCTGGGCGGGAGGGCTGCCCTTTCCCCAGGTCTTTGCACCCCCTTGCTTCTGGATTTGTAATAAATCTTGTGACTCTGCTTCCTTTGTGTGGGTGTATTGAAACTGTGCCTTCAGTCAAAATGACACCATGGGTTTTACTTCCCCAAAGAGGAAGCTTGGATGCTGAGGGAACTATCTGGTGACCTCTGTGGGTGGCTTGTGCCCCCTCATTCAGCAGGTCATAATCTGCATATTCTTAATTCAATACACCAGCTGTGGCTTCTCAACACTAGGCTTGCATTCAAAAACTAATTTTATGTCACTCGGTAAAGTTTTATGGTTTTGTTCGAACATGTCCTATGAATTTCTCATTGTTTATTTCTAGATATTTTATCATTTGACTACCATTTTCAATGAAATGACTTCTTCCATTTTATTTTCTAACTGGATGCATAGAAAAGTTTATTTTGTATATTAATGTCATAAACACCATAACTGTGATTTCTTTCTGTTTCTAAGACTTTCTTTTGCCTCCTTTTTCACTAATTTCCCTTATGTCTCTTAGCCAATTTCATTTGAGAACAATTTTAAAAGTAGTGATTCAGATGACATACCTATCCTGTTCCTCACATTAATGGGATGGTTTAATGTCTCAGCATTTAACTTGTATGAAGACATGCATTTACCTTGTCATAATAAAAAAGTATTTGTGTGTTCTCAAACTGTTATGGCTTTCTGGGGAAAATGTAGATGTTAAGTTTTTGTCACAGCATTCTCAGTATCCATGGAGAGGATCGGAAAGTTTTCCCATTTGCTCTATTAATATGTTATATTGTAGTAATAGAGTCCTTAAGACCATACCCCTATATGTTTCTGAGATGATCCCTGTTTATGATTTTTTCTGTCAACATTCATAATTAAGATTAATCATTCTGTAGCTTGCTTTTGTGTGCTAAACAAACAAACAAAAAGAAACAAAATCTCTATATCCTGCAACCATTTGCTTGGTTGTAGAATTGTCTTTTATTTAAGCATAAAAGAACTCACCTGTTGGGGTGGGTCTGGGCATCCACTGGTATGTTTCTGGGTTTCTACCATCGGGCAGGTTAGGTTCTCCAGCACTTCTGGAGTTAATTTTAGTTGCTTGATGTTTTATAGAAAATTAATGTGAATCCATTTTTCAGCATATTTGCATAGTTTTGTAATATCGGCACTTAAGATTTTTTAATTGCCTCTATTCGTGGTTATTTCTCTGTTTTTCATTTTTAATTGTGTGCACTTCTTCTTTCTTCATTTTTACTAATTTGACTCCCCAAGGATTTTTTTTTTCAGTTACTGAACTCTTAGATTTATTCATCAGTTTGGGGAACTGGTTGCAACTCCAGATGCCCTTGGGCTGACCCAACCCTTCCTGGCACAGCAGGCGAGCCATGTAGTGGGAGCCACAGCTGGGAGGAGCCACCTTCCTAGCTGGCTCCAGGGCCAGGACTGAAGCTTCACTTGGCAGCAGGAACCATAAACGCAACCAGGCCAGGCAGCACAGATGTGTCAAATGTGGCCAACACGACCACAGTTAGTTAGAGAATAGATGGACTCAAAGCTTTAACCAGAAGCCATCTTGAGGCTCAGGCCTCTGGAAGGAACCTTTCCTCACATAATTTAATGTTCCCTAATTACTTCATTCTTTGTGGCCCAAACCCTCCCCCTTCCTCCCTAGACCTGACCTCACTGCTCATGGATCCTTTTAAAATTACTGTTTACTTAATTTGAATATGGGTTTGACTTTCTAATGTCAGAGCTTACCACAACATGGGGAGGGCATCATGATGTCATGGGACCAGGGGTCCTGTCTGCAGTCAGTCTTCATGAACTCTTGTGGTCAAACCTCATTGTGTCCTCAGCACACCCCACTTTGGGAATCACAGGAATGCAAACATTCCACAATTCTGCCCACTTCACTCTTTCTTATCTGTCTCTTCAATGTCTCATTTAAAATTTTACACTCTTGGGCCAGCCCTGGTGACCTACTGGTTAAGTTCGGTGTGTTCTGCTTCAGTGGCCCAGGTTTGTTCCCACATGTGGACCTACACCACTCCTCTGTCAGCGGCCATGGTGTGATGGAAGCTCACATTAAACAAAGAAGAAGATTGGCAGCAGATGTTAGCTCAGGGTGAATCTTCCCCAGTAAAAATAAATAAATACAATTTTACACTTTCCTAAATTTGTCTTTTTTGGCTAAAACCTTATTGCTAGTCTTTTCTCTGCTGTGTTAGACTTTTGTAAATTCACCTTCTAACAAATACTGCCCATCTACAAATTCTACTGTTATATTTAATTCTTAAATTTCTGCTTTCATTTTTAACATTTCAGTCCTTCTCCTCTACTCGTTTTTTATATTTAAGACTATTTTTTAGAGCAGTTTTAGGTTCACAGCAAAATTGGGTAAGGTACAGATACTCCCTGCCCACACACACGTATAGCCTCCCCTATTATCCACATGCCCCACCAGAGTGGTGTATTTGTTACAATCGATGACCCTACAGTGACACATCATTATCACCCAAAGTCCATAGTTTACTTTAGGGTTCACTCTTGGTGTTGTACCTTCTATGGGTTTGGACAAATGTATAACAACATATATCCATCATTACAGTATCATACAAAATATTTACAGTACTCTAAAAATCCTCTGTGCTCCAACTATTCATCCCGTCCTCCCCGCAACCTCTGGCAACCATTAATCTTTTTACTGTCTCCATAGTTTTGCCTTTTCCAGAATGCCCTATAGTTGGAATCATACAGTGTAGTCTTTTCAGATTGGCTTCTCTCACTTAGTAATATGCATTTAAGTTTCCTCTATGTCTTTTCAAGATAGCTTATTTCTTTACAGGGCTGGATAATATTCTATCATCTGGATGTACCACAGTTTGTTTATCCATTCACCTACTGAAGGACATCTTGGTTGCTTCTAAGTTTTTGGCAAATATTAATAAAGATGTTGTAAACATTCATGTAAAGCTTTTTGTCTTAAGATGTTTTAAGCTCCTCGGACTAAATACCAAGGAATGTGATTGCTGGATCGTATGGTAAGAGTATGTTTTGTTTTGCAAGCACCATCTTCCAAAGTGGCGGAACCATTTTGCATTTCCACCAGCGTGAGTGAGAGTTCCTGTTGCTTCCCTTCCTCGCCTGAATTTGGTGGTGTCAGTCTTCCAGATTTTGACCGTTATCATAGGTATGTAGTGGTATCTCATTGTTGTTTTAATTTTCATTTCCCTAATGATATATGATGCAGAGCATCTTTACATATACTTGTTTGCCATCTATATATCTTCTTTGATGAGTTGTTTATTAAGGCCTTGGCCTATTTTCTTGTTGAGTTGTTTTCTTATTGCTGAGGTTTAAGAGTTCTTTGTATATATTGGATAGCAGTCCTTTATCACATGTCTTTTTCAAATATTGTCTCCCTCCCTGTGACTTGCTTTTTCATTCTCTTGACATTGTCTTTCACAAAGTTGAGAATTTGCATTTACGTGAAGTCTATTCTAACGATTATTGCTTTCATGGATCCTGCCTTTGCTATTGTATCTAACAAGTCATCTCCATACCCTAGATTTTCTCATATGTTATCTTCTAGGAGTTTTATAATTTTGTGTTTTACATTTTGTGATCTATTTTGAGTTAAATTTTTGGACAATGTAAACTTTGTGTCTATGTTCATTTTTGTTCCGGAGCCATTTGTTAAAAAGACTGTGTTTGCTCCATTGCATTGCATGTAGATATTCAGTTGCTCCAGAATTATTTGTGGGAAAAATCATCCTCTCCCTACAGAATTGCTTTTACCCCTTTGTCAAAGATCAATTGACTATATGTATGTGGGTCTATCTCTGGGCTCTCTATTCTGTTCCATTTGGTTCCATCTCAGTTCTATTCTTTTGTGACCATCACACTGTTTTGATTAGCTAGCTTTATAGTAAGTCTTGAAGTTGATCCTCTATTTAAAATATATTCTATGTATTTTTAATTGTGGTAAAATATATATAACATAAAGTTTACCATTTTAATCATTTCTGAGTATACAGTTCAGTGGCATTAAGTGCATTCAAATGTGCAACCATCACACCATCCATCTCCAGAATTCTTTTCATCTTGCAAAACTGAAATTCTGTACCTATTAAACACTAACTCCCCATCCTCCATCATCCCAGAACCTAGAAACTACCATAATACTGCCTGTTTCTATGAATTTGATTATTCTAGGTACTTCGTATGAGTGGAATCATGCAATATTTGTTCTTTTGTGACTGGCTTATTCCACTTGGCATAATGTCCTCAAGATTCATTCAGGTTGCAGCTTCTCTTCTACTTTAATTATTTTTATTTTTTAAATTGAGTTCATAATAGTTTACATCATTGTGAAATTTCAGTTGTATATTATTTCTTGTCTCTCACCACCTAAGTGCTCCCCTTGAACCCCTGTGCCCACCTCCCACCCCGTTTCCCATGGTAACCATTGAACTTTTTCCTTAGTCCATGTATATGTTTATATTCCACATATGAGTGAGACCATATGGTGTTGGTCTTTCTCAGTCTGGCTTATTTCACTTAGCCTAATACCCTCCAGGTCCACCCATGT